AATTGTGACAGCAAGAAGTGCCTGATAAGCGCTTATAAGTCAACAATTGCGAGGAGGACCCATAGAGAGTCTGGGAGCGAATATAAAAGCGAAAATGAAATTGATACCATTCTCGAAAATGGGGACCTCCGGGGCATGAAAGGAAGAGGATTTATAGTACATGAACTGAGCGTATTAACAACAACCCGAAGGAGGATCTAACAAGCCGGAAGGAGAAGACCAGAGGAAGCTCCTCCACGTCAGCGATAGTAAAAATACCCAGCACGCAAAGAAGCGGTTCTGAATGTGCACAGAAGAGACCCTTTTTATTAACAGAATCTCAAAGGAACATTACTAACATACTAACAGAGAATACATGTAACAGGACTAAGAAAAGAAGTTTGGCAACACACAGAAGAAGCCCAAGAAGATTAATTGGACATTACTAACAGTTTAATTTACCAGTTTATATATCACTCAGCTTTCTCTTTCTCCCACTGTCTACCCCTTCCTTTTTTTCTTTTAAGCGAAATACCTCCCCTTTTTAGGGGAGCCAATAAAACCTTTATTAAAAAAAAAAAAAGATAACTCAGCCAGAAATATAAAGAAACAAAGTATACTGGGTGAATGGTACTTTTCTTTTTTATTTCCTACGGTACATGTTTTATAGTGCAATCTTATGGAGAGTTAGTATGTTCTAAGTGGGTGGAAATCAATGGGCTTAGACTGAAGTAACACTGCATAGGATTGCAGGATTCAGTCTAATGTGCATGTTAGTGCTTTAGGGTTGCCAACTGCCTGGAGAAAAAAGGCCCAGTCCCTTTAATAAAGGCTAAATGGAATGTTAAGAACATAAGAGACGCCAGTGTTGGATCAGGCCAAAGGCCCATCCAGTCCAACACTCTGTCACACAGTGGCCAAAAATACCAGGTGCCATCAGGAGGTCCACCAGTGGGGCCAGGATATTAGAAGCCCTCCCACTGTTGATCCCCCCCCCAAGCACCAAGAAGACAGAGCATCACTTGCCCCAGAGCCCCTATCTATACCTTGTGGCTAATAGCCACTGATGGACCTCAGCTCCATATGCTTATCTAATTACCTTTTGAAGCCGTCCCTGCTTGTAGCTGCCACCACTTCCTGTGGCAGTGAATTCCATGTGTTAATCACTCTTTGGGTGAAGAAGTACTTCGTTTTATCTGTTCTAACCCGACCGCTCAGCAATTTCATTGAGTGCCCACGAGTTCTTGTATTGTGAGAAAGGGAGGAAAGTACCTCTTTCTCTACCTTCTCTATCTCATGCATAATCTTATAAACCTCAATCATGTCACCCCTCAGTCGTCGTTTCTCCAAGCTAAATAGCCCTAAGCGCTTTAACCTTTCCTCATAGGGAAAGTGTTCCAACCCTTTTATCATGCAAGTTGCCCTTTTCTGCACTTTTTCCAAAGCTATAATATCCTTTTTAAGGTGTGGTGACCAGAACTGCACACAGTATTCCAAATGAGGTTGCACCATTGATTTATATAGGGGCATTATGATACTGGCTGATCTGTTTTCAATACTCTTCCTAATAATCCCCAGCATAGCATTGGCCTTTTTTATTGCAGTCACACACTGTCTCGACATTTTTTTGGCCAATTCCCTATTTATACAAATGTTGAACTCAATAACATTATGATCACTGTTCCCAAGCGGTGCTTTATTTATCTCTGTGCTATAAAAACCTTTAGCTGCCCATTTCCACACATAAAGGGACAGAACATTTTTCTCCAGGCCTGTTGGCAATCCTGTATAGGTCAAACTCTGTGCTACAAAGAACTAAATAAACTATTTTGCTTTCAATAAATATATTCTGCCTTGCCTCCTACACTGCATAACTATTAAGACCTTATTGTTGTACCTTATTCTACCAGATGACCACAGGATAGCACAATATACCAGCAGTCCCAAGAACACTTTGCATAGCATGGGGCTTACTCCTTAATAGATCTACTTAACATTGTTCCCTATGGTTCCTGAAACAGTTCAGCAAGAAACTTTCCTCTCAGTCTATTGTTAATAGCAGTTTGTTAAATGTAATCAAAATTTTATTAGATCTAGCCTATATATCTAATAGCCAGGGTGCCCTCTGCGTGCGGATATCTAAATCCGTACATTGGGGACACCTAGGGGGCAAAGAGATTTTCCTACACATTTGGGGCAATCCCCAGATGTACAGCAAAATCTGAAATCTATAAAAAATATATATATAAGGGGGATACTTAAATCCCCCCAAAAGTAAAGGAGCGTTCCCTGCGCATGCACAGAGAACTCACCACTAGGAACTGTGGCAGAGCCATTGCTGCTGTTGGGGGGGGAAGCCTGGCGAGCCCAGCGGACCGTCTGCTGGGCTCCTGTGGCCGCTGCCTCCTCTGTGCGGAGCTCCTGCTGCTTCAGCAGGCCAGCCACCTGGGAACCACAGGGAATACCCCCTCCCGCTAGTATCGCAGGTCCCGCTTCTTGTACATACCTAAATGTGCAACAGAAATGGCAGTATGCAAGGAGATGGCAGGTGGAGGTGTACAGTTGCATTTACAGTTGATGAACGGTAAACCAAGATAACGAAGAAAAGAAAAAAAAACCCCACAGCTGAAACTGTTTTCAGCATTACAGCAAGACTCCCTTGATGGATCTCCTGAGGAAACTACAATCTGTTTTCAGCATTAGAGCAAGACATTATAGATCTCCTGAGGAAACTTCAATCTATGACAGTCTCCCAGAAAATACCATCCTGGGCACCATGGGTGTAGAGACAGTACACTTCAAAATCTCCCACAAAAATGCACCACTAATCACTGGAAATATTATCCTTGATGACATCACACATCATGGCTAAGCTTTGCCACTTTGTATCCACTCATCTCACAATTATTTCAGATTTGGGACCGTTTGTAAATTCAGTTTAATAGCACTGCAGTGGATATTCGTATATACCTACAGCGTATGAGTCGGACTCGACTGTGCGACTGAACAACAACAACATAGCGTATTTATGGGACAGCAATTCTTCCTCGGGTCCTTTTCCTTAATGCCTATTCTCTGCTTGAGATATACTGGTGACATTTCTAAGCTCTCCTCAGTTATATTGGAGACCTGGGGAAAGAAGTCATTGAAAGATTTCATCCGGACTTCAACAGCTTGTACCATCAACCTGGGCCAGCAAATGGCAAGTTTGCTTTCGGGACACCACCGTATACACGTGATGCAACCCGCGCTTTCTTCTGGGACTTGTAGTTCTGTTTAAACCCGGAAACTCTAAAGCTCCCGTTGATAGGCAGGCCCAGATACCAATGCCCCGAGATTGAGTTACACTGTTTAGTTGCACCTAAAATTGGATTGGCTGAAACTGTTATCTATCATGTTCCCACACAGTCGGGAGGCATTCGCGCTCAGGAGTGAGGGGAGGCCTTTCACCGCCTTCTTCTGGGTGGGTGCCGGCAGCAGCAAGGTGGGTGCCGGAGTTGACAGCGGGGGTCCCTATCGCTTCATCCGCTTCCGGTTCTTGGGCGAACCCCTCAGGTCGTCCAGATTTTCTTCCCTCTTGCGAAGAAGCGGTGAGAGCCGGAGCTTCTTCGGCTGTCCGCTTCTTCTCATGGGTCGCTTCCCTGCTTGGTCGAAGTGCGAGCGGTTGGGAAGAGAGAAGAAGACAGAGGGCGCCCAGTCGTTCTGGGACGGGAGCAGGCAAGCCTGGATGGGGACTTTGCTCTGCTTTTCCCCTTGAAGGTGCAAGCGGTTCCCGCCTGGCGTACTTCCCCTTAGGTTTCCTTAGCTGCCTCACACCGCATCTGGCATCGTGGGAGCCGCCCAGGCAGAGCCCCTTTCTCCTTCTCGAACCCTTCGACGCAGGAGAGAAACTTCTTCCAGCTCTGCCTTGTTCCAAGTTTTATGGGCGGTGGAAGTGGGACGATTCGCTGTCTCACCAAGGCAGCCCTCTCGCCGCCTCCGCCTCTCCCCTCTTGCTGGCTGCGCTTCTTTGCCGCACGAGCTTAATTATGAGGACTGGCAGGTGACTGGAGTTTTCGAGGCTGTTTGGAGACCGTGTTTGGTATTGTTGTGTGTTTGTTCGTTTGACTTTTCCAAAGATGACGACGAACTGAGGTTTTTGAAAGAGCGAGGAACATCTTCTGAGTCGGGGTGCCTGTTCAAATAATGGCTGCTGACCGAGATGGAGAAGTGAGGTGGGATGGGCTATGCAGCAGGGATACCGGCGCCAGAGAGAGTGCCTTCGAAAACATCAGGCAAGCGGTCCTGAAGGAAAGCGAGGCCATGGTTCTTGGCAAAGAAAAACCGTCTCCTCCAGCGGCAGAAGAGCTCTTGCCTTCTGCTCGTGGGTCTTTAGGTGCCGGGCTAAATGAGATGCTGGCACGTCTGTTGAT